GAGACAGGGTCAAGGCCCGCCCTTTACTTTTTAATTTATATGTAAATGACATCCTTTCGCTATTCAGTTCATCCCAATGTTTAATATATGCAGACGATTTTAAAAATATATAAGATTATAAGTTCAATATAAGATTCTCATAGTCGATCTTCAAAGTGATCTTGATCGGTTGTGTGTTTGGTCGCAAAAAATGGGGACTAGATTTTCATAATCCAAGTAAATGTAAAATTGTAAGCATTACTCTCAAGAAAATACCTATTATTTTTTACTATTCTATTAATAATAATAATAATAATAATAATAATAATAATAATAATAATAATAATAATAATAATAATAATAATAATAATAATAATAATAATAATAGTAGTAGTAGTAGTAGTAATAATAACAATAATAATAATAGTAATGATAATGATAATTATAGGCCTAATGGTATACGTTGATAATAATGATAATCCTAGTTGTAATAATAACAATAATAATGGATGATAATTAAATCATTGAGAGAGTTTACACTCAAAAATATTTGGGAGTTTATATTGACTCTAAACTTAATTTTTCCATTCATGTTAACGAAACATTTAAAAAGGCTAATCGAATGCTAGGAATCATGCGGAGAAACTGTAAAGATCTTCATGATCTTAAACTAAATTTCACTTTAATCGCATTGAAAGATTTCATTATCGTTTTTTAGGGTTTTGTTTTATATAATCAGACTGAGATAGTCAATCTCAGAAATTGTTTATCTCCTAAAGTACGTAGAGCTTTCATTAATCTTAAAAGTTTCTTTATAATGCTGTACATTGTAGTTTTAATTGTAATTTTATCTCATGTTTCTTTATCAAATGTGCCATCTCGTAGATTAAGAAATAAACCTACTTTTTATGTTCCTTTCGGGAGGGTAAATGCCAGTCAAAATGGGTTATTTTGTAGGTTAAGTAAATTATATAACTCGCTTTTAGTTCAAGATAATAGTCAAGATATATTTTCTTATTCTTTCTTTGAATCAGTTTAAGCATGAAGTTTTAGGTTTACTTTAATTGTCTTTATACTATTTAGGCCTATTTTATGTTTGGTATTGTTTTTTATTTCCTGTTTCATGTCAACCCTCCTGTTATTGGCGAATTTTGTTCGCTGTTGGTTGTAGTTTTTAAATAAAATAATATATATATATATATATATATATATATATATATATATATATATATATATATGTATATATATATGTATATATATATATATATATAGGCCTATATATATATTTATATATTTATATTTATACACATGCAATTAATTACAGAATAGAATATGAGACTGATCACAAGTTATGGAAATAAAGTTGACGTCATAGGCCTATTTATTCGTCATGAATTCTTGATCAATATATTTATGTATGTGCTATACGTTACTAAAAGGGAAGGGGGTGGGAAAGTTGATAGTAACATTTAGACTTTGAAGTTACTCCTGCAGTGTGCTAATGTTTAGCTTGTGGCCTATCCGTTTGTCATTAACCTATAAATTCGAAAAGATTATGGAAATATGAAATGTGGACATCGCCAATAATTAATTGTTTTGTTTTAAGGCTTTTTTACTTGATAAGAAAATCACACCCTTTCCTCCTGAGATTTAATCACAGAGCCCCAATTACTTTCCTGTCAGCGTTTGCTTATCGAGCATTCTTTAGGTTTCAAACTGTATCCATATGCCAGGATAATCTTATTTTTAATTTTCGAATCCACAACAGAATCAGCGCATACAACACATGGCTAAAGTTCTCACACATATAATTTGCAAACAATCAGCACTTTGTAGTAGATTTTTTTATGAGTTTGCTAAACCAACAAAGCCTAGCCACAGAGTACAGAAATACCATGTGTAGCCTGCTCATCCAGGGAGGAGGAACAACTCGTTGCAAGCTGGAGTTAGTTCTATGGCTATTGATAGCCGATCCACCGCCAGATAGAATCCATATTGAACATCCATCAAACCCTCTTTCCTAATATTATCAATTGTACACAACAAGAATTATACTTTAATATTGCGGCGTAATGAAACTAGTGGTACCCGTTTATTTCTAATCAAGGAGAAATAATTGGATGGATAAACGTGGAACGGAGACTCGGATATAGCGGTAAGCCATTTATTAATCATGTTATTTATAAAATAAAAAAATTCTGCAGGGTCTATAGGCCGTCAATCAACCAATATATTTCTCCCTAATTAGAGATTGGGGTTTTCAAAAGTTTTGTTTTTAATATTTTTTAATGGATAGGTCTATTCCTTTTTATTTTCGTTAAAATTAACTTCTTAAATATTAGGCCAAATGAGGTTCCCGCCATACCGGTAACTGGAAGGGGGATCCCTACCCCGAATTATAATTAATTTTACTAAATTTTATTCAACATTATTTATATAGGCCTAATGTTTGACAATTTTGAAATTGGATACCCGTGGATTGCTGCTTAGAATTGATCAATGCAAATCATGAAATAGTATGAGCTACGATTGAGTAAATACTATAGTTTGCACTCTACACAGTAATATAATTAATTTGTTATTACTGAAATTCGCTTCTCTATTTGTGTACTTAGCTTTTATAATTGTTTTTATTTAGAAAGTCTAATTGTATGATGAAGTTTTTTTTATATATTTATATTTATATTTTGCATTGATATTTTATCATGAACTCGTGGATGGACACCATTGGTGCACGAACTTTTATGTTGTATATTATATATTTCGTGAATAAATAAATATTTGATTGATTGATTGATTGACACAGCCGTTCTATTTATCTATCGTTGGACAAATTTTATTCGATTTTATTTATTTGTTCTTAATTATAATGGACTGCCTTCTCGGTAAAATAATACTGTTCTCCAAGAGGGTTCAGTACACATAAAATATGCATTATTATATGAATTGACAAGCATTAGTATCCAGTAACAGACTCAATGTCCTATCTGGATTAATGATGTTACGTAGCCTAATGCGTGAATAACATACTTGACTAATGCAATCAAGGCAATTTAACATAGTCCACGCAGCCATCTGTTGAGCTCAGTGAGTTATTCAATTAAAAGTGCACGACCCACGCGCACTATATACTGTTATATTAATTGTTAAATGCAAAAGAGGCCTATTATTATAGCTGATTAATAGATATGTAAACATGGGATGGATTCAAAGGGATCTGCCAGTCCAGCTCGTACAAGGAGTTGAATTTTATGAATCACTCGCCCATGAACCCAAACTGAAAGCAAGTAAACCGAGTTTAACCGAGATACGAAAGGAACCGCAATAAAGCTGAATAAAGTATCATATTTAAATATTTAGACAACAGTTAAGGGTTTAATAAGGAAATATCATTTATTGTATATTCTTTATATAAACGTATTTTTTTATTGTTTATTTATTCATTTTATTCATTTAATCAAAAACACTTTTCCCACAGCATTGTTATTTTCTGCC